CATACACATGTTATCTATAAAGCTAGCTATAATAGACAAACCGGATAGCAACATGAGTCTATGTTTATACATAAATGTTTTGAACAACAATGTCTTTTCTTTCTCTTTCAGGAGAGATTACCTGCAAGTTGGATATGTTTTTGCCAATCATGTGTATTATTGTGTCTGTCTACAGTTTAGTGATGTTATCTGTGGATCGTTACAGAGCAATAGTCCGGAATATAAAACCATCTTTAACGCGACGGCAAGTCGGCTCTAGCATCGCAGTCATGTGGTTTAGCGCGATCATATGCGGGGTACCTGAATTGTATGCATACACAGTGTACGACAAGAAATTGTATAACCTATCAATAACTGTATGTGGCTCCCACGGTCAGAACATTCCCGACAGCATCAGATATCTTGGAGTGGTATTTACCACATGTGTGTGTTACATTGTGCCTCTATTTCTCATAACCGTAAATTATAGCAAAGTGGTCTTGTTTATATGGAAACGAGAACGTCAAGTATCCCATACAGTTGGCAAGTCATCCTCCATCTCCAAGGTGAAAGTAAAGATAGTTAAAATGCTGGTTCTTACGACGACTGCGTTTGCATTGCTGTGGTTCCATTTCTTTGCACTATTGTCATATGAGGTGAGAGTATGACATTAATGGGTGTTGTGGTAAATGATTGTGTTTCTCTGTCAATCAGTGTGTTTGAAACATAATTAAGCCTACTCAATCATTTACCACTTGTTTTTATTTTAGAACAACAACAAAATATAAGAATATAATCTATATAGTTTGAAAATGTCGAATGAAGCGGACCATTACTTCAAGATTTTAGGGAACCGAATGCCCATGAACCTGCATATATACTGAATAAATATTGAGAGTGAGGATAGACGGTTGTAGCAAATCACAACCAATTAATATTAAGCTGTTCCTAGAGAACGACTCCATTAAATACAAATGTGAACAACACTAATCATTCCGTATTGTAATTTACAGAAACTCACTGGACGTGATGACAGTACAGACAATTGGACTATAATTCACAACGTAGAGTTGTGTGTTCTAGGATTGAGTGCTGTGTATAATCCCATCCTGTATGGGATATGCAATAAACCGTTCAGGATCGGGTACGCGGCGCTTTTCTTTCGTTCGAATCGACAATGTGCCGTGCAACCTACAGAGACAAACAATACACAGAGCGGTGACGAAGAAGTACCTACTACCAGTCAAGCGAGAGGACGTGTACCACATAAACAGCATGTCTCCAGTAAAACACACAGTAGCATTGGTGAACTGTCTATAATCGCTACACCCGTTATCAACATGCGTTCATCACTCCATGTCAGTAGTTGGGAACACAACGCTACACGTGTACCCAGACATCACAGCAAAGTGTGAAAACAGAAATGCTACATTGTCGTCTTTGGTTATGTTAGTTCTTACTCGTGTAAAGTTCGTTAAACAATTATACTTTTGTCATATATTATACTTTTTTCAGTTAAATAAACTAAGACTACTAAATAGTCGTGAGATTCAAACAAATATTTCACAGTTTTCAAAATGTCATCCCTTGAATTCCTATAACCTAGTTTAATATCTATATTTTTGCTTAGCTCTTATATATTTGATGAAGACCAATAATTATATCTATCCTATCGTGAGGTTTGATTATTGAAATTAGTCATTTTGAACTGAAAACAAGCCTCTCATTTGAATATAGTTTCTTTGTGCAATTGGCACACCAGAACCAACATTGTTTGTTTAAAACCAGAAAAGTGACCGAAATAAATGCAGAGCCGACCAAATTTGAGCATGTCATGATTATGATCATCAGTGTGTATAAACAAAAAGTCATTATACTTAATTAAAAACAAGTCGTAAATATATAATATACCATTATACCAAAGTTGTTCATGTTTCAAATAAATGTTCATAACACACTATAGATGTTTGATTTGTTCATTTCCCAACAAGGTAATGGCTTATATGATTGGTTTATTCAATTTCCAAGTAGTTAGCAACCCGTTCTAGTGTGCAGAAGAGAAATGCGCCGACAATTGGCACAGACCAAAAACATAGTACAAATGTATTCTCTTTCGTATATTTTCTAGTGTTCCTTGAATATGATTAACTCATTTATGTGGACTATATTATTTTCCCATTGTGCATTCCAAACTGCAAAGTTCCAATATGTGTCACATTTCTTGTGTAATGGGCGAAGCCTAAACATCTAATGAACATATTTAAACACACAAACTAGATTGCATTAATGGGTGCTACTTTTCTTAAGAAATTTCTGTAAAAGTCAAAATATTATGTATGGAACTACAGTTATCAATTCTAGCACTTAATACGAGAGGGAGGAGAGATTTTAAAAAGAGAAAAAGGATATCTAACTGGAGAAAAGCAAAAAAGTGAATGTGGTTATCCTGCAGGAAACACACAGCGTGCCAGCGGATGGGCAATTTTGGCCAATTCAGGGGCAAAATCTGGTATTCATATGGCTCTGATAACAGTAAAGTAGTAATGATTATTGATCGAAATTTAGCTTTGAAGGCTTTAAATATTGTACAAGATAATGAGGGTAGACTTCTTGTTGTTGAATGCAAGGTAAATGGATCGCCTTTAATTTTAATGAATACTTATGTACCAAATAGAGAATCGGAACATAAACAATTCTTAGGGAATTTGAGAGATAGACTTGTGCATTTAAC